GAAGCTACAGTCACCTGAAAGCATCCCTGGGGCTGATGGATCCATCCATGACCAAGGTGACTAATTCACATGGCTGTTGGCAGGAGACTGGGGTCCTGGCCACAGGGGCCTTTCTGTGGGGCTCCTTCCCTAAGAGTAAGTATTTCAAGGAGAAGTCACATTTTATTGTTTCCATTTTACTTGTTAGAAGTGGGAATTCAGGGGAGGGAATTAGGCTCTACTTTTTGAAGGTAGTATCAGCATTTGTGGACATATTTTGATCATACAATGATCTTTCAGTAAATTTTTTTTTAACTGTGAAAAAATATCACTTGTGAATTGTAATTTGTATTCCAGCTATGGTAATATAAACTCCATTAATATTGTTTGTGATAGATCCTGAACTGTGAATTTATTTTATCAGTGAATGCCAAATAAACAGCTGTGATGTTGATGCTTTCATTAATCTGACTGATGCTTTCATTAATCTGAAATGAACGCTGGTGTCCTAGGCCCTCTCTCTTCTCATTTCATTCTTAGAAGGCCAGAGTCACAGTTTTCAGTATCTCTGTGCTATTGACAACAGGTTTATCTCTTTAGTTCCAGATGTTTCCTTTAAGCTTCAGAACCAAATGCCCCATAGACATTCCCTTTGGTCTAAAATTAAACCCTTGATCTCTTCTCACTCCTTTAAAAAATCCACTAGTCCCCACTTCAGGTAATTGCTCATGCCAAATCTTCCTTGACCCCTCACTTCCCACATCTAATCCACTACCAAGTCCTACTGAATCTTGTGAAGTATATTGTGAATTCAGCCACTGTACCTCCACCACCCTGATCTTAACTACCATCACCCTTCTCCTGACCTCCTGCAGTGTCCTTCACACTGGTCTCAGCTTCTGCTGCTGTCCTCTCCAGTCTGTGACACAGGAACCAGATCATTGCCTTCTCATCCCATCCCACTTAGATTTAAATTCTGGCTGCTTCCTATGGTCTTCCCTGACCTGGTTCTTGCTTTTGTCTCTACCCTCACCTCCCACTACACTACCCCTTAGTCTAAACATTGTTCTTTGCTGTTCCCTGCCTCAAAATCTTTGCCACAGGTTGTTCCTTATGCCTAAGCCCTTCTCCCCCCCC